TATCCAACAGTTGAAACATATTCCATTTTTGTCTTGCTGACATACTCCCTTTGCTTTGCTGTTCCCTCATTCTCTCCACCAGCTGTCTGGCTGTTATAGTGATCTGGAGTGGTCCATTTTATCCATTCGTGCCATGCAAATGAGTTCTTCTATTTTCCAAACAAAATATTGAGTATGAAATGTCCCAGACATTAAAAATCTGTCCAATAAGTGATATATCCAGGTGATGATTCAGGCAGCTGGTATTAGTCAAAGTAATTTATCATCGGGTGACAACATGCTGATGACACATAATATTAATACAACACCAGACCAATTGATTCAGATGCCAATGATGCACTTTTTAATCTAAGTCCTGTGAATTAGAACTTCTGAAACCTGGTACATTCCCAATGCATTCAACAGATGGAAAACAGGCAGTCCGTCCATTGGAGCAGTGAGGGTAGAAAATACAAGTTAACATAGAAATGTTTCACAACTTATCCCCTGCTCAGTGCCTTGGTTCTTGTTCTTTAGTATCCTGGTTTGGGGATTGTTATGAGTCTGTTTCTAATTCTGCTTGTCTCTAAGCAAGGATGTAAACAGGCTTTAGCTTCATTAGCGCGCACCTGTATCTCTCTCCCTCTCACACAGGCACACACATGCCATCTTGTAATTTTATTGGGTCAGATAACACTGCAAATCATGATGTTACAGGTTTTTTATTCAATCATGTTGTAATATTACAGCCACAAAATCTGGTGTCTTACATGTGGTTTACAAGACAGGTCACTGAAGTACTCTATTTTCAGGTGTAGGGCTGTATCCCCACAGGGTGGAATTCATCCCTGTACAGAGGTGCAGCACAAGGCCCATGCCCCACTGAAGTCCCAGAGCTTAAGTGGGATTTCAGTGGGAACATCGGTCCTGTGTGGGCACTCTGCACAGGAGGGAATTGCACCCAGCATGACTGCTGGTTTGTTTCCTTTGGTTGCCTCCTTTTTTTTCCAGCGCAGACACATGTCAATCACACTCTGTCATCAGAGGCTTACTTCCTGTTAAGCCAAAGGCACCAGCTGAGCAGGAGAAGGACACCTGACCCACCTGACCCAAGATAATGCAGCACTGCTGGCTGGAAAACCACTCCAAGGGCCTGGTGTGACCGTCACTCAGGTGGCCACTGTCTCCAGCTGAGATTCTTATGGCACACCCAGTTACCAAATCCTGATGGCCAAACATAGCCCATTCCTCACCTCAAATTGCTTTGGATTCATATAGTGTAAATAGGCTGGGTTACCCCAGACTAATGACTCCTCATCCCTGTCAAAATGTGTTTTCACCCTGCACCTCACTGGAAAGAAGACAACTTGATGCCTCCTGGTGCTATTACCTCTAGAGTGTCCCTACACAGGCCTCTCCACAGCCTCCTGCAAGCTGTGCTTAATTTGCAATGAAAGAGGTGCTGGGGCTCTCAAGCAATTAGGTGCTGGGGCTCAAGCAATTTTTTGACCTTCATAACTGACAATGCAAGTCAAGAGATGCTGGCGCTATGAACTGCCAAGCCTAGAGGTGCCGGGGCTCAACCCTGGCAAGCCCCCGGCACAAAATAAGCACTGCCTGCAAATAGGAGGAGCAGCTAAAGCAGGAGAGCTGCAGATAAGAAGAGAGAAAAGGAAGAGCCAGAGGCAAAAAGAGGTTGCATATTTGGAAAGCTTGGCTGGACTCATCACTATGTTACTCCAGCTTTACACCTTTGTAGCTCCATTAAAACTCATGACCTTATGTAAGCATAAGACTGGATGGAGTAACACAGTAGTGAATCAGGCCCTTTAACTTAAAATGTTCAGTTCCCTTCAGGGGGGACCTCTAGGCCCCACTGGCATACAAAGAATATTATGAATTAATTAATAAATACCGGCCTGATTTTGCCACTCCTATTCAGGCTGCTTAGTACCTTCCTCTGCTTGTAGCTCCACTGATTTCACTAGGGCTGCTCCCAGAGCACGAGAACAGCTCGTTGATTTAAACAGGGCTATGTGGGAAATAAGGTAAGTAAGAGGGGGCACAATCCAGACCTTAATTATTAATAATACTGTGTACATACAGGTTAATGTATCCTGCACTCAGACAGCCTTGCATTCAAATGTTGTTGATGATTACCTGGTCTGTTCATTCCCTCTGAAGCACCTGGCATTGGCCACTGTCAGAAGACAGGATACTGGTCTAGATGGACCTTAGGTCTGACCCAGCATGGCCGTTCTTATGTTCTTATTCTGAGTAATGGACATATACCACATTTCCCTATTCGTTCTCCATGTGCTAGCAGATTGGTTTTGCAATGTTGCACATCCATCTTTCTCTCTGTCTTTGCATCATGCAACAAGGCTTTGTTGCCGACCAGGAAAAAATTATGCTCATTTCACTGCACGGGATTTGAAGTGGAGCAGATGGAGAGGTAACCGATGCATTTTTTAACTTGGCTCAATTTTCCATCTTTCAAAGGTGATCCGAGGCAAATCTGAATAGGAAGCAATGTACAGCCTTCACTTCCAGTGCTCAGGTGGCTGGTTAAAAGGCAGAGGTTGGCGAGGATTATTCAGTGAGAGCAGCCTGTTACTAAATACGAGTTTATCCAGAATTCATAAGGAAGGAGACAAGCTTCAGTGAGTCTCAGGGGACAGCAGCCTGCAGGTCTGATGTTGCTCACAGACTGAACTAGGACAAGGATTAGGGCCTGCAGATCTGCTCTGACAATGAAAATAGCGGCCCCAGCTTCTGCTAACTTCATTTACCTTGCAATTTAGCAAAGAAGGGCACTTGTTGGGTTATTTCTGTCCCTTTCGGTTTTGAATGAGCATTTGAACTCCTTTGTTTGGACTTTAAATTTTCCAGCTCCTGTTTGCCTAGGGGCTGGAAACTGGTGTGAGGTTTCTAGAAAATTGGACACCTGCAGCTTTGAAAGCAATCTGCTTATTGGGGAGTGGAACCAGTGCAGCAGAGAGCATGGCTTGTTTCTTCTTGGCCTCTCCTGTCTTCTCTTTTTATCACTTCTATTATCATAAACATAAAGCCTTCCTGAGCTGGTGTGCACAGAAAGATGAGGTTAAACAAACCTGGTTTGCTTAGTCCTTTTCACCGGGTTTGGGTCAGTTATTTTCCTGTGCTATTTGGACACAGCTGAGGAGAAAAACTCTGGAAACAGATGTCAGTATAGTCATTTCCGGATTAAAAATCAAACTGAAAATAGAAGAATAACATCCAGGAGGTTCAAGACCCTTAACATTTTCATAACCTTAAACACAGAGAAGGCTTTAGCCCTGCCACCATAATTTGAGACCACGTTGTGCTGTTTGAAGCTCCATAGAGCAGGGTTTTGATTAGCAATCAGTAATTAAATGAAGCCAGAGATCATTTGTTAACACATTATGTAAAATATTTATATTTTAAAGTGTCAAATAAATTCAGTTCCCACCTCCTAATTTTTAGTTTGTTTTGTAAGAAACTAACAAATATTTGTGGCGCAAAAGACTGGTGCAATCGCAGGTGCTACTACAATACAAATAATAAATAGCCACGATAAGAATATTAAGAGATTGAAATCCAGTTCTGCTGTTCCTCCTCTATCTTCAAGACAGTTACAGAGATGGAAGCTTAACTATTTCTCTCTATAACAAGGCCTGCTGCTAGTTTATTTACAAACTCCTTGACTCCTCATTTACTCACCTTAACTGACATCAGCTATTTCTAGTACAGAAATTCCCAGCTACATCCCTGGAAAATCAGAGGGGGAGTTCCTCATTTTGCACCTGGCCTTTTCTTTAATTTTAAGTGGAAAACAAATGAAACCGTCTAGGCTGTGAAGTTACAGGCTGATCTTGCTCCCACTGAAATCAGTGTCAAAACGCTCAGTGGCTTCAGCAAGGGGAAGATCCCATTTTGAAAGAATAGTTACATGGTTGTTAAAATCCATTCCTTATTCTATGCTACTAGGGAGGATGCCTTTGGTGGTTCTTTATTAGCTTATTTTGCAGTCTCCTCTCTCTGATTTGGGTTGTTGTTTCTTCTCTCTCTGTCAGAAGGTTGTGTGGGTGGCTTATACATTTATAGAAAAGAAAGCTGGGTAAATCATTATTTATAACCCACTTGCTTTGTATAAAAAATAAATATAGGCGATGCAATGTAGATTTATGTATAACATATGCATCCTTGTTCATCTTATTGCCTGGAATTACCCTGTCATTAGACAGTGATTTCTGAAAGCAAGCGTTTGTCAATTAGAAAGGCACATCTGCATGCTGGTGCATTTGGAATAACACCGGAATGGGAGATTTCCCGGGAGATTTTGCTTCTATTGAACAAATCCTTTCCCTTCTAAAACTCTAAGAAGATTGATATTAAAATCGAAACAATTTGCAATATCCCAGGAGAAAAAAAAATCAAATCAAATAACCCAGCATCCTAGTCTGTCACTGGCTCAGCCACTAACTTCAAAAACCATGTTTATTATTTCACCAGCCCTCTGTCTGCCGCTTCGTCGCCATGTAGAACTTTGTGTATTTGCTAAATATAGAGAGATTATTTATTATTCATTCATTCTAATTCGAAAATCTCTTGAACGCACTACTGAGATGGAAACCGGTCCCCTTCCCAAAGAGTTTGAGATTTCTTTATATAGTTACGCCACTATTGTTTAAAAAAAATCTGGAAATATAAAGCAATAAGAAGCCATTTTAATCCAGATTCAATTTGTATTTCTGTAATAGAATGGCACATCTTTGGCGTTTAGTCCTGCAGTCCTTATACATGCAAAACCTCTCTCTCTCTCTCAATGGAATCCAATCTATTTATTTCAGTGGAAGTTTTATCGAGTAAGAACTGCGGAATTGGGGACTTTAAACTATAATCACATGACCACATCCTGCTTGGGATAGAAAGTCAGTGGGATTGCTACAGCTAGCGGGATTTAGTTCCTGACAGAAATGGATTTAACTACTAGCAGTAAAAAAAAAGACTCGTCCGCCTTACGCTGGCAAAATTTCAGTGGGAGTTTGGCCCGAAGAAGGACCCGATTCTACTCCCACTGCAATCAATGGGAGTTTTGCTGTTCGCTTCAGTGGGAACTCTAGCGGGTGCTAAGGCAGTGCAGGGTTTGCCTGAACTCTCCCATTTCCTTCCCCCCTCTCTTGCAGCTGTCAGTTTGTGCTAAAAAAATAATAGCAACGTGTGATGTCATGATTATTTTAATAGCGATCTAAATTTTGATCATCTGGGAAAAGCCATTCGCAGAAAGCCCACGGTTCCCTGGCAGTGCCAATGTGGGAAAGAAGGGAAGGAAGGGAAGGGAAGGGTGGAAAAATGCCCATGAAAGGAGGCTGAGCTTTGCATAGATTGGTGATTTCCTCTCCCCTCCTCCCCCACACACATATAATGTATTTTATCATTAAAAATCAACATCGCTTCCAGTGCTAAAGGCGGCTGGCTCCAGTTCCGGGGCCCATTTGTTGCTGGGATTCAATACGTTTGGGAAATGCAGATTGGATTGCAACCCACTGTTTGATTTATGAACTGTTACGTTTGCTATTGCTTACCCATTACATTTCAGACTTTACAGACCTTGGGGGGGGGGGGGGAGAGAGAGAGAGAGAATAATGATATGTTGGAGAAGGGGGATTATTACATTTCCCTCCCGCACCAGAATAAATAATATGTATGACTAGAATTGCAGAATCAAAATTAAACTCTGACCCCCTCCTCCCCTTTCCCTCAGCTTCCTCCCTCTCAGCAGGACTCTCATCTTATAGGTAGAAAGGATGTGTTTACTCCTTGATGTTTACCTCTCCATAAACGCATCAAAATCCTATAAATAGACAAGGTTATAGCAGCTTCTGCTGCTAAATCAATAGGGCCCAGTCTCCTGGCTATTTCAGCTGAGCTGTCTTATTAATTATGAAAGGACTCATCTGATCTCAGGCAGCAGCTTTCTGTCCCTCCTTTGCAGCATCTTAATGGTGGTTGCTTTCTCTCCCCTCCACAGCTATAAACGGTCCCCTTTTCAGCAAAATGGGTTAATTTTTTTAAAAGAAATCACTAAATACGTATGTAAAGACTATTGCTGTAAATAGTCTGCCTATAACGCCGCCAGCAATTGCTGTGCCAGCAAAACCCGCGCATGTGAATAAAGGGAAGGATAACCGGGGCGGATTTTTGACAAACGGCTGCAAATGCAGAAGTGCTAGACCTGGGAGCCCGTCCTGCATTGCCCTGGCACCCCGGGTTCCCACTGAAATCTGGCACTCACTCTAGCTGGCTTGGGCTGGTTCCCTCTGTAAGCAGTCACAGCAGATGAGTCCCACGTTTTAGAAAAGGAGTATTGTGTACTTTTTTAAGGGAGTTTTATAGCATGATTTTTAAAGGGCTATGTTAATTAGTTTAGCAATTCTATATTTTTTTGCACCAAGATGACGATGTTAATTAATTTAGCAGCTCTGCATTTAGCCGCTGTTATATTAAAAGCCTGTCCGGTTAAATAGATGTATACCATGCATATTTTACAAATAAAACGACACCCTCATTTCAAACAATAATTTTTATTTTATACTTCTTTCTATACTTGTAGCAAATTTTTTTTTGCTGAATTGGCTTTATAATAAACTCTTTTTAAATTACATCTTTTCTTTTAAAATCAAGGTTCTTTTTTGTCAAAATCAATATGCTGTATTTTTAGGTTTACATTTAAGCCCCCTTTTTGTGATCTATACTGTTGGATATTCAGGTATTTTACTGTATGTGTAACATCTAAAACAAGAGAAGAGGAGGGAAATTAAAGGCAGTGAACTCGGAAAGATGCTTTGACAACACCAAGTAAAGCTAAACTCTCAGCAATCTTAGCAGCATTCAATCCTTCAGTCATTAGATATAATCTCTTTCCTTCCTTCTTTTTTTTTAACTGTCCATTTCTTTCTTTTTTTCCCCCTCGAGGAATTTTTTTTTTTGCAGTGGAATGACCAATAAACAAGCGACTGTGGAGGAAAGATGATAGATTGTGAGTTATTCACCATATGCTTCACACGTGGATATCAATCTTGGATTCATTTCCAGTGCCTTTTTTCTCAACTCATCGTTTTCTTTCATATTACAAGAGGAGCCCATCTTTTGTTGTTGTTGTTGTTGTTGTTATTATTATTATTTATTAAGATTATTAATATTAGGTGGCCCAAAGCCGTTCCTGAGATTCTTTTGCACAAAGGGCTCGGGTTTTCTATTTTTATTTGAAGAGACACTAAAGCTGAGGTCCGATTTTGGCTGTTTGTTGCTCATTGTTTGGTAACATTTGGCAAATAAAACACAAAATAAAGAGAGAACGTTTCCACAATCCTATATGGATGTTTCATCATCACAGATAATCACAACGGTCCCCAAAAAACGGATGGACACTTCCTCTATAAATCCAGTATATGGAGAGTGTGTGTGTGGGTGGGTATGTGTGTTCTACCAGAAGAGACCTCCTAGAAGGAGAACCAGGTCATTAACGCTGCAGAGAGAGCCAGCAGGAGCAGGGGGAAGGCAGGGAGGAGTAGGGAAGGAGCTGACCCGTTGCTTCCTCCGCATAGTTCAAATAAGCTGCCTTGAAAATCGAGGTTTTTGGATTCCCTTTTCAGTTTTTCCCAAAGATCTGTCGCGCCTTCCTGGCAATCCGTGAGGGCTGTGAGGGTGCAGGAATGGAAATCATCCCAGTACCTGGGGAAGGAGCAAACACAGGGGACAAGCGCCAGGTCACTCGCTGCACAAGAGGGCCCAACAACATACCAACCCCACGCCCGATTCCCTCCACCCACATGCTCCCCTTCCAACCCGCTCCTGATTCCGCCCCTCCCAACAGTTTCAAATGTGTGTAGCGATGACGGGTGCCTTGATGTTTGGGTGCCCAACCCCCCATTTATGCAAATCAGCCCCCCTTCAAGAAGTTTCCCCCTTGGGGCGCTGCAAAATTGAGACACCTAAAATCAACTGTGACTTTTTGAAAACCTTAGCCCTTGCTGCCTTCAGAATTGCAACCTTAGAAGAAGCAGCCCTACGCACAACCGGCTCGTTTTGCACTTAGGCTCTGCTCCTACTCCCAGTTAAACCAGTGGGTGTGGGGCCGTTGATTTCAATGAGAGCAGGATCAAGCCTTCAGTCAATAGCTCTGTTTCAGGATTTCCTCAAGAGTGACTGCGATCTTAATTCCTCCCCGTCCCAAACGCCCCCTAAGCAGGCGGCTTGCTTCCATTCTGAACGAGCAAGGAGGCTACAGCTGGCTTATTTTGTATTTACTCGGTAACGTTCTGTTATTGGCTTTTGCAAAGAGTCAGAAATCGAAATCTCTGCCTTTGAAGGGAGAGCGGCTGGGGTCCAGCGCATAGCCCCGTAAATCATAGGCAGGGATAGGAGGTGTGCCTTTTGCATGCACAGAATAGCTGGACATCTTCCGGGGGGGGGGGAAATAGCCACAAAAAGCAAGGTGCCTATTATTAACCTTCCTTAACTGTCGGACTTTATTAAGGAGCGTGTTTCTTAGCTGTAATGATTATGATATTTATTTATTGCCTAGCATGATTATTGTTGGAAAGTGTTCTTTGGTTTTGATGCTGATGAACTGTATTATTGTGCGGTGAGATTTGATTTTACTCTTCCAGAACGATGGAATCGGCCAAAGTTTAAAGATCCTAAAGTAAAGTTACTTCACAGAAAAGCACCGCGTTCGTTGGTGATCCCATCTAGGAAAACCTTCCACCGACTTCAGAGGGCTTTAGATCGAGCCCTCATTGCACAGAAAACCAGCCACCTCTCTGCAGAATGCCGAGTGGCTTTCGATCAGGCGCCAGGTCAGTGATTCTGAAATTACAGGGGCAGTATGCCTGTGATTTCAGAATCCTGACCTAATCCAAAGCCCCACTGGAGACAAAGGGGAAGTCTGTCCAGTGATTTAAGTGAGCCCAGGATCCTTCAGTATTTAGAATAAGAAACCACTCACCCCCGTGGAAAAAAATCCAATATTCCTAAACTGCTTTCCCATTTTTCTCACTCAAACCAAAACCAGATCTCGAGGCTAAATCTAAACTCCAAGCAGGATTGTCTCATTTCAGAGGAGACTGGCAGATCTCTCTGTAGTGGTCTCGGTTATCTAAAATCAGTGTGGCCGCTGTGAACTGTTCTCTGGTTTGTTTGTTTTTTCCAGGTAGGCGCTCGGTTTTCGGTTATTTTTTTAAGCAGTCCTGCAGATTCTAATTTATGAGCACTCTACACTGGTTGTAGACTCCAGTGTTTGCTACATTTGTAATAAATAATGAGATATTGAGATGCCAAGAAGGCTGAGAGTGTGCCTCTCCTGCAGTATTTCTGCTATAATTGCATCTCCCAAAGGAAAGTTAAATCTTCCCTGATCTTCTTTCAATACACATACTGGCACAGAGAAAGGGGGAGAGAAACCTCTACAGAAATCAGGCGCAGGCCGGTGGCACTGGACAAGAAGCTAACTCCTGAACAGTATCTAGGACAAAGGCTTTAAATTAGAACGATAGGGCCCTTATTTCTGTATTTATTCTACATGCAGCTCAGCAGGTACATTGCAGCTGGCCACGTACCGGCGTTGTAGACGCTGCAGATAGCAGCCTACTGTCGATCAGAAATATATAGACAGAAAGAGAAGTCACAGGGGTTTCACAACATTGTCTTTTGGGTTAACATGTCTTGATTTAAAAAATGTTTCCGTTTAATGTACATTGTTTTCTGACTCCTTTTTTTTTATGTTTCAAGAAAGACTTTATACTCCAATGACACCGCCTTGGCTTCTAAATGTGGCTATTTGCCGGATATTTCAGGATTATGCAGGAAAACAGCAATTAGGGAAATCCTATAAACGGATTTCTTTTTTTATTAAATTAAAATGCAAACGGTGCGTTACTATCTTCAAACAAAGAACCCCTTAATGGACAGTTCTTAAAAATGAAGCATTAGCTCTTATCCTCCTATTCTCACCAACAACCTTCATATGTCCCCAGTAAAGAGTCAGAAATGGGAGACAACGCTTTTTTAATGTGGGCGAAATAAATCAAGATTCACATTTCCTTAAGCAATGGACCCCTACCCAGGCGCTAGTCTGGAGTCTAAGCAAAACTCTGCAATGACTTCAATGGAAACTTGTGCTTAAGAACTCCCTGCCCGGTCTGGCCTAATGTTCCTTCCACAAGGACTGAAAGTTTGACAGCGAAACCATCTCAGTGTCTCAGCCTGCAGAGATCATTTCAGTGCCAGTCTCTCTTCAGACACGAGTATTTCTTCTACAAGCCCAAATCATTATTCACACCTTATTAAGCAATAATGTTAACTCTACAAATGAAACTAACTAGATCTGAATTATCGTGGAAAAATAACTCTCTCTAATAAGGCAGCAAGGTGCTATTTATTCATTATTATTAATTATTATTATTATTATTATTATTATTTCTCTGTATATTCGATTGCATTGTTGTCATCTTAATTTATTATGTTTAATTCCGGGGCCAGATTCTGATCTCTTTAATCGTGTTGCTTAGCAGATGACTTAAAAAACAGTCCCACATTTCTAGAGTAAGGAAATCAGAACGCGACCCACAAAAAATAAAGAATCAGGAGAGTCAATGAAGAATAAACGTAGCCCTAGAATTTCGCTGCTTAGGTGGTTTGCAGAAACGATCCTATTTTAAGCAATTCGTTAGCAACAAAACCGGCCTTTAAGAAGAGCCAGTACCAGCCAAATGTTGCCAACCCCATGCTGGATTTCCGACCTCCATTTTTATTAGCACCGGCACCACCCATGTAAATGACTGTTTGCATTGACAGCTAACGCTGGATGTCACACTTGGGGCCTTGAACAGATCAACTGGGAAGGGACCATCGACGTTACAAAAAAATGCAGAGGGCAAGAAAAAGAGAAGAGAAGCCAAAAGAATATATAGTCAGCGGGGAAACGAACTGAACGGCCCAGCTACAGCGCAGGTTAAATCGTTCCTCGCAGTACAGTTTTGCTCTTATTGGCGCTTCAGACTGCAGAGAAATAAGGACGGAGGTCAGGCCAACTCAGGCCATGGACAACTGAAAATAAGGCAGCACCTTGCAGCTCCATAAAATCCCTTTCTTTTTACGCAGAGAGCCACGCTCACAGCAGCAATTAGAGCGGGATTTTCAGCCCGGCCAGTGATATTTTCTTTTCGAATAACCACCCCGAATGTAACCCTGGCGATCCGTAACGAGGAATAACAACGAAATAGGAAGACCTACGAGCAGATCGTTTGGAGATTTCTCTTGTCGTCCAGGTCCTGCGGGTAGTTGGCCATGTTATCGCCCAGCCTGAGCAAACAGTCCGAGAAGCCCCTAAAGACCGCATCGCACTTCCCCGCTGCTCTCACCGCCTGCACCAGGTACGCTGGGGAACAGATCAGCACCACATCAGCCCGGACAGATCCCAACACAGTAACTCTGTACAGCACTCAACCCCCACATGTCTGTGAGCTACATTCAACCCCTCCCCAACCCGTCCCCCCCCCCCACCACCATACACGAGGGATCAAAGTCGTGACCGTGACAGAAAGATCTGCCATTCTTGTGCACCCACCAGGTTGCAAACCGCTTTGCTTCCTTCTCAGCACACAAAGCCAGCTTTCCTGTTTGGGCATTTTCACCAGCAGACGGGATTAATTTTGAATGAGGGCAAGTGTGCTGAGAACAACAGGGTTAGAGTCAAAGGCATTCAGGGAGTGGGTTTGTGCCTTTGATTTGTGTGTGTGTGCGCGTCATTTCTTATTCCATCCCTCGCTCTCCCGTTGTATGTTTGAATCTAGTTTACAGTAGCGTGGCCCACTACAGTCTTGATTACCGTTAGGTTGTTTATTAAACGCAATTTTCAATTTAATTCTTTCCTTTCCCGGGATGCGTTTTATTGTTATAACATTCTGCTTCCGATCGTATAGACACACACGGACACTCTGATAAGGGCACTTCATTATTGCAGTATTAACTGGGTAAATAGCTGCGGAAAATGAAACCTCTCTGAGAGGAAAACATTCACAAAACACGCAAAGGGCTATGGCTCACGTATATTTCTCCCTCCGATGGTGCAACAGCGTGGGGTGGGAACGAAAAGTTTGTGGGTTGCAATCGCTAGTAAGATGAATTCTTCCACGGTTAAAATCTGTTCCTGGCTATATTTCCCATGTTGCACCTTTCGGATTTTGCTATTCACTGGCACACACTGAGACGCTGTTTGAAAAAAATGAAAATGCCCTCCTGTGTAATCCACCGATGGAGTGAGTGCTAGAGTCACAGACTAGGGGTGTGTGGGTAAAATTACTTCTCACCTATGTCGTAGTTTTGCAGCTAGATTGGTGCCAGAGAGACGCCTGTGGTTTATATGTCAGACTGTGTGTCTCTGGACATGTTGTCCATAGCCAGATGGATCGACGTGGAGACACAAGAGCATCATTTACCTCACTTCACCTCAGCTCCTCTATGTACCGCTCTGCCTAGAGGGCTAGAAGTTTCTGAAAACTGTCTAGCTATAGCTGAGTCCATCAACCAGGCGCTCTGTCTCTAGCCACACACAAAACTGACCCTGCTGGGAAGAAGGTGCTCCCTCTCGATCTCTTCCCCTTGCAATGAAATCCACACCGTGCTGAGGGATAGAGTGGATTTTCAGGCAAGGGGAAGCCAGGCTGTCTTGCTGGGAAGATTTTTTGTAAATACCTTTAAAGTGATATTAGCTCTAAAATCCCTCCCAGCCACTAGCCTCTCCTGGTGCAGTGGTGCTGAGGGGAGTAGGAGTGTCACTGTGGTTTGGTCTCTCTCTCTCTCTCTCTCTCGCTTTCTGCTTGCCTGCATGGTCAGGACTCACTCAATTGATTTGTCTGTTTGAAAAAAACACCACCACCAGATACAATTTCTGGCTGACTGGCTGGGATTCGGTAGCATACGGGCTATTTATCCCTATCAATCCCGCTGCAAATGAAAGGGAATTAGAGGCTTGTTGGTTTAATTGATCACTGGCTTGATCCTGAACAACAGAGCTCAAGGCTCTCAGCTGCTCCCTCCTCCCCTCAATGCAGTGCATCTTTAGCCACCTACAGTAATCGGGTTAAGGGAGTTGCCATTTTCACATGCTGCTTTCAGGAGCCTGCCCCAAGTGCTGGGGGCACACACTGGGTTGGGAGCCTGGGATTGCAACCGTAAGAAACTCTGCCCTAGAGATTCCCCTGGGGAGCGTGGCTGCTTATTTTTAAGGCGCTCCAATTACCAAGTAAGTGGCTGGCTCCAAAAGGCTCCGTTTCAACTCAGAAACCCCGTCACCCCTCCCCGTTTGATTCATCATTAACCTGATTTAGTAACCACACCCCTCACCACCACCGCCCACGCGCACGTCAAAACACGCGGGGAGGGGGTGGTGGTGCAGACATTGGCTAGGGTACAAAACATGCAAACAAATAGCAGAGCTGAGAACATCCCGAGAGAGAGAGAGAGAGAAAAGTCCTATAAAAGCCATCGCGATCCCTCCTTGCAAGCGAACGAGGAAGGCGAAAACGCCACTTCCAAGCGGCAAAATGCTACAAGTCACTCTTAAAAATATAGGCTCCCAAATGATCTGCCCTATGAATCGACTCCTCCCGGGCGCGCCAAGATGCGATGGCAACAATAATAATTCGTAAGTGCCATTGTACTGCCTTCGTGCTCGGCAGGAGAGGCCTGCTCAAAGCACACGGGGGCGCGTGAGCGAAATGACGTACAGTTAATGCAGTGTTAGCATGCTGTCCCTGTCCGCGGCTTTGGGGGCAACTGTGCTTTAAGAAACGAGACAGGGTTTTTCCCGAGTTACACAACAATGGGATTTCTCTTGAACTAGGTCGTTTGAAAGAGAAAGGGGAAAGTGCAGCCCGTCGGCAACGCATAAGGGCGAAAGGATCCATCCATAATTGATCCTTTTTGCATTCCTTAATTTTGCAGCTGATTCTCCACATTTAACACGCTCTTTAGCTCCGTCTACTCCCCGCATCATCTGTCTTTCTGTCTCACCTTCCTTCCACGCTCCTGCAATTCCCGCTTTCTTCCCTTAGCCACCTTTCTTGTCAAAATGTCAGTGGTTCGGAGAGCTTCCAGCCATTCATAAGGACCAAGGCATTGGTGCAAAGATGTACATACATTTGGGGGGCACCAAACTAATGCGACAAACTTCCATTCCATACGAACCCTTTAGTAATTCACCAGAAGAGGTAAATACACTTCTACACTGGATGTGGCATTTATTCTCTTTACAAAACAGAGGTGGCACCTTATTTCAAAATAGTAATAAATACTTCGGCGTAAAATAAAACCAAACTGCTCCCCGAAGAGACTATAAGATCCGAAAATTCATCCCTTTCCTCACTATCCCGAAAATATCTACACTTTAATAATGTTTGAGGTCTGCAGCACTGGTTTTATCTGAACTTTCGAAATTCCTGCACGTTTTCGAACGATCTAGTGCACATAAAGTGCCAAAAATATGTAAAATTCACGGCGAATAAATGCCTCTCTTGGTAAAATTTCCTATCCTCACATCCTCCTCCAATCTCCAAATAAATAAATAAATAAATACATTTATAAAAAAATAAATGTAGTTTTAAAAAGGCCATGTGTCCTGAAAAATGGTTTTGCAAAGCGTTCATCATCCTTTGCAATTATTCTGATTGAAATAATGACATGAATTTTGAGGTTGGCAAATTCTAGCCACATTTTCCCGAGTTCAATGTTTCGTCTCAAGGGTTTCCTCCCCCCCCCCATCGATGCGAAATTTATTTTCATCGCGTTTTGCCTTTTCTCCACGCTCCCCCCGCCCCAATGCTGCAGAGATCGGCTAGCGAGGAAAGCGACAGAGCGAAATGATTTTTAAATAGCAAAACTGAGCATTTTTTATTATGACAGAATTCCTTTGCAGAAAATCTTTTCAAGGGTTTCTCTTGTAATCTGCCAATGTATCGATAAAGGATGTGTTTTAATTATTTTTAATCCAAGATCATTTTTGGATAATGCTAGGGAATTTCTTTGGTTTTTTTTTTTTGTTATTAGTTCCTTATGCAGAATGAAAGGAGTTGCTAACTTAAAAGCTGTTTTAATATTTGTAACTGTGAAAATACTTTAGTCGGAAACATTGAACAAAATTTATCTAATAAACAAAACTTAGCAACAACAAAATCCCAAACAACAGTAAGAAAAAATACACATACACGTATATCTATCTATCTATCTATCTATATATACACACGCACAAACTAGGGTGGAGGGAAACCTGTGCTATTTTAAGTAACTCCCAAAGAATAGGCATTTTGCACCTCTACTTTAGTGACAGAGGTTCTCTTAGTTTACCCAAAATTAATTCTCAGGCAATAAGATTTAAATTTTGTTTTTATTTCACCACCACACTTAACAAAAACATTCACCGCAGCTGGGAGAGCCCTAACATACCAAAAGACAGCATTGCGACCCCTTTGCACGTCCCTGGTTGCCTGCAAATAAACTTTCCAGTTAGACCTCTCTCTAGCCATTTTGTTCCATTATCTCATCTCTCTGCCCCTCTAGGGAAGAAATAAATGTCCTAGCATTGGAACCACTGAATTGTCGGTGGCATATATCTAGAAAGAAATATGCATGTAATCGTTCCCGGGGAGGAGGGAAGGAAAAAGAAAGCAACCTAACCATTAACGAGCATTTCATCCGTCTGGTTTGCAATATGGAAGAGCAAAAGTGGTTCAAGAGGAATAAGAATTCGTTCCCTTTCCTGCGGAAAAGCTGTTCTTTCAGCGCTTGGCATCCTGAATAAACACGAACATGCCATTAAAAAGAGCGAGCGAGGAGAGTACATAGCCTGGTCCCTTCGCCGCGAATCATGCCAATCATTTCAGGTTATTTAGACATTCCGTTTCTGCATGCATCAAATGGGGTTTGGTGCAGACAACTTGAGACACAATTTGGTGGTCCACTTACCTATCTGTACAGCAAGGATCAGAGAAATATATCTGCCGTTCAACTTAAGTCCCATCCTACATTTAGTAAAACCATTTGCGACTGCAGATCTTTAAATAGTTACTTTGGAAAACGTGGGGGAAAGCTGAAAAACAGGCATTGCCAACAAGTTCCCAGCAGCGGAGACTTTGCAGACGAGGGGGAGATGGAGAAAGAGGGAGAAGGGAGAGCCGGGAATGGTTCACTCCATTAGCAGGGGGCGGAGGAAGTACAGCCTCACGCCCACCACCAGCCCTGACGTGAGGGAATGACACTGACGGATTCTTTTTTTTTTATGTGCACCTTGGAAGGAGAAACGCCATTTATAGGCAGCCCAGCCTGGATTTAGCCCGCTCTCTGCCATTAATCGCCACGCAATCTCCTCCCCTCGGTGAAATTCCCCCGGGCTGCTGGCTGCTGGTGTGACCCTGCAGGACTTTAGGGGAGCCCTGGATTCTCCACGCGCCTGCAACAGCACCGACAACAAACAAAAGCCCCACCAGAAGGAGCTGGCCCGTGAGGAACTCCTGCCATCTTTATTAACACGTCCCCATGGCCAAACACTGCAGCAAGCGCCTGACAAGCAGGGCAGCTTCTGTTAAGCCTGGCGTGTGCGTCTCTCCCCCCTCTCTCTCCCCACTAAACAGCTGCGTCCAGCTTCCCGCCTCACACTCTCTGTGTCTGGCACGCACCGACCTCTAGATGTGATCCTTGCGGGCTTGTCCTCACCCTGCAGCGCTGGCCGGTTCCTCAAGAGCAACAGGCGACATCGTGGGGGGCTAAAGCTTGGCCTTGAACAGGCTGCCAGCAGGCTGGCTTGGCTCTTTTGTGCTGAGCTTAAGCTAAATAATAACGAATAGCCCTGGGTATATAAACAACCCCAAATCATTGGCATTGCTCTGCCGATGGCATTGTTTTTACTTAGGGCATTGCTGAGGAGTGGCCTGCAAAATTGCCGCGCTCCCCCTCTTTTTATTGTGGAATAATCTCTCCACATGATTTTAACTCGCTCTCCAGCCCTCTGGGTTTTTTTTTAAACGTATTATAAAATACCTGCCCCTTGTGCTGTCTGAATCTATGCAGCTGCATTGCTGCTTTGTTACATAATGGACGGGGCTGCAACTGGCAAATAGATGGGGAAAGCAGAAGTAGTTAGACCCCAACATTAAATCTTATCTCTGTCCAGGACAGTTGGGGCTTTCTGGGGATGCAGGCTGCTAGCACAAAGCGTCCAATATTATTTTAGATGGGAGGGGCATGACGTGTGTTTCCTCTTTTTAGCCAGGAGGTGCAAAAATAATACTTTCTAAGGCATGCAAATCCAATGAGGGAGGTGTTTGCAAACAGCGAACCTGTCTATCCATCGATCCCTCTCTCCTGCAGAGCAACAGGAGCGGCTAGGGAGAGATCTAGCCATCGATTTGTTACCAGGTGAGGATATTGAGGGGGCCAGAAAGGCCGTGGGGAGGTTTGCAGCGCTCCAGGAGACAGGAGGGAGGGGGGACAAGTAGGGGTATATTCTGCCGTGGAAGTGTCTCTCTCCCTCCCTGCGTGGGTGGGGATAGCACTGAAGAAACCCCCCTCCCCGCCCTTCCCCTCTCTGCAGCAGCGGGGATGGGAGACTGGCTTTTGCTGGGTCTGCCGGGGTTGGCCCGTGCAGTGAGGAGTGGGCGGAGGATTCAGGAGTCTCCCCCCAATCCCTCCCCTATCACGTCACCTGGATGAAGATGGGGAGGGCTGCTGAGCTGGTTAATCTCTGCCAGGCTGCCTGCCCTGAATCCTGAGGGAGACCAGGGCCTGCCTGCCGGATCTGCCTTTTTCTTTCCTACTGTGTGTATTAGGGCGGTGGCTGGGGCCTGAGGCAGATCAGAGCTAGGGGCTGCACAAAGAGAAGTGGATGCTGCGGGTCCTGCTCTGACCAGCTCCTTATTCCATCCTTGAGGGGGAAGGGGGGGGGGCTTTCCTGTTATTCAGAGGGATGCTCCTGCCAGACAATAAGGGAGCTGTCCAGGCAAATCAGTGCCCTTGCAGTGCCATCCTTTCCTCCCCATCCCCATCCTCTCCTGGGGCCCTGTATGCTGTGCTGCCCTCACCACCCCAAGTGCGAGGCTCAAGGCATGAGGCCAAGGGAGTGGGCACATTTGGTGAGAGTCTGTCAGCACCCCTGCCTAGGCAAGGGTTTGAGCTCTGGCTCAGCTCAGTAGAGCGTGCATGTTGTTATCTTGGCTAACATACTGGGGACTGAACCCAGGAGCTGAAAACACCAGGCTCCACAGCTTGACCTAAAAAGCCTCCCTGTGGACTAGGCCCAAAATGGGGGGTGTATAACACACATTTGATCCTGGGGGGTTACACAGGTATCTTCCCCTAAGGGAGAGGGGGACCTGCTGCCAGTGCTGGGGTAGGCTACATAGGTACCTGCCTATGGCATTTAATTGTTAGGTGACGCTCCCACCTGGCCACCTTCCCACTAGGTGGGGCAGCTTCTCTAGGGGGAGTGTTTTCCTTTTAAATGTGGCCCACTTGCCCTCAGGTAGCAGTAGCTCTAGGATGCCAAAAGAGCGAGTGCTGGCTCTGGCTAATGCAAACTGAAAGCCTGTGTCTGCTGAGGGAGAAAACACAAGCAGCTCATGGAGATGTTCTGCTGCTGTTGCCTACCAAGGGCCTCTTTCTGCCCTGCATTGGATCCTGTGTAGCCACACTGAACACAGCGGCCCTAAGGGTTTCACTTGCTTGTAGTTACCAGCTCCCACCTAGCTTCTCCCCACCACAAAGTAGCCACTCCCACTCAGGTGCTACACCACAAAATTACCAACCCCTGCCCATGTCTTCCTACCACCCCTTCTCTCAGGGGTTCTCTGCTCGGTGTCCCCATCTGGTTCCCTGATTTTGAACCTATGACCGTCACCTCGCTCCCTGTTTTTTTATTAGTTGTCCCACGTAATTATTTGGTACTGGGTCCAGTGGTCCCTCCCGCTAGGCTGGGGGAGGGGCCTTTCGTAGTGGGCGGCTGAGCCCGCCCACTTCCCGGTTCGCCAATACGACCCCCACGCCTGTTCCTGTTATTGCCTTCGTTGTCCTCCAAACTTGGTTGGGTTCTGGGTTCAGTAGCTCCTCCCTAGGCTAGGGGAGTGGCTTTTAGCAGTGGGCGAGCTAGCGCCAGCCCACATCTCGGCGCTCAAAAGGACCCCTCCACTCAGCTCCTCTTCTCACCAATTAGCCACTCCTTCACCACCATAATTACTACCCCTCAGTCAGATCCACCCACCACAAAATTACTGCCCCCAAATCAGCTCCTCCCACCCCTGTTTCAGCAGCCAGTTGCAGGCTGGCTGATTTAGGCAATGTGAAGGCAGCTGTTGATTTTGAATCCCTCTGCTCCTAATGAGTAAATATAATTAAGTAGTTTTACTCTAGCAGTAGTGACTGCTGCATAGCGCAGTTCCTTATACCAGCAATTCCTGAGAAGCATTATTTAAAAAAGAACAGCCCTTCACTTCCCCATGGCCTTAATGGAAAAGGACTGAGCAATATGCTGAGAAGTAAGTAAGAGGGTGGGAGGCATGACAGTCTACAAGGGTCTGAAGGTCACCAAGAAGGGAGAGGGATTATTTAGGGTTAAGTGAGTCAGTACAACTAGGAGCAATTACATGAAATCAAGAGTAAGATGCAAAAACTCTTGATGGTGAGATCTGTTAATACAATAATACTAACATGCAATTAACCCATTGCACTTATACAACACCTTTTTATCCATAGACCTCAAACTGATTAACAGAGGTAGATAAGCAGCATTACCCCTACTTTCCAGATAGGGACACTGTAGGGGAAAATGTCTTTTGTCAGGTCCCAAAGTGATTTCATGGCAGAATTAAGGATAGAATCAGGTCTCTAGACTGCTGAGGAAAGCTCAAGTCCCTACATCACAGGTATACTCTCACAATGTTAAATAGTCTCTCAAGGGAAGTGTTAGAAGCTCCCTCCAGTAGCGATATTTGAATCTAAACTGGATTTAAGGCAAAAATGCTAATACAGTATCTGGCATTCAAATGTTGAGGTAATGGCTGCTCTAGAAATACCACCAACAGACAGAGATAGATATACCATAGGGTAGAATTCTGCCATTGTTCCTGCAAAGATCAGTTAGATAGGTCTTTGATTTAGTGCATTAGCAGCAAATAAAAGGGGATGGATGGGCTGTAGGCTCATGGTGCTTGAATGGAAACATTGTACATGCTGGTCAGCCTGTAGCTGGGCTGCTTGTATTTTGGTCAGTGTGTAAAAGTACCCTTGGAAAAGCACCAGGATTGAAGGGAAGTGACAAGATCAAGAGTACAAGGACTGAGAGAGCTGCAGCAGGAGGAATTTTCATTTTCACTCCCATGCCATGCTGATAAAGGTTTGTGGTTGCTGGGTTGTTGTTTTTTTTAATCATACTTGTATCTCCTACTTTTCCCTAAGGGTAAACAAGGTCTAGCTGCAGGTTAGGGCTTAGCTAGTATGAGGTGTCTTGTCTTGAACTTACTTTTGACCATAGCACACGTAAAACTTGCTTTGAAAATGACTATATGACAATTTCCAACATGCAAATCAAACAGATTGTAGAGTTCTGATTTGTTTAAAATTTCAGATCCATGTTTAACAGTTCAGAGCTATCTGCACCTCTGACAAACAGGGTCAAAAATCTCTTGAGAGCAGGCTTTTCTGTGAGATATCTGGCATTTCTGTTTCTGGAACACAAGAGCAGTGGGTTTCCTGGTGTTCCAGCTAGAAATGATCCTAAGCCAAACCACCTCTGGATAGCCTTGAACTTTGGGGAAGTTCAGCTGTATCTGAACATTCTGTTTGCACTCTATCATTATAATGGACCGAACTGCCACTCCAGACCCTTCCAAATATAGATTCAGATCTGAACTTCATGGCTCAGGCTGTTGCTAATTCTGGTGCTTCCAGTTCTGGTTGAAACCTGGAAGTGTGAGGCCATGTGAACATTTAAAAAAAAAAAGCACAATCAAACACTGTTTAAAGACTTCTGAATTTCAGAGTCTAAAAGGGGTCAAAGATCGAAGCACGATTCTGACACCTTACACGAATTGCTCTGTGAGTGGGATCAATGCTCGTGGCGGCGGAAGAAGCTGTACCCTGTAAAGTGGTTTAGTAGTAGTTGCAGTCCCTCTGCATGCTGTGGAGGTCAAGGAGGAATTCT